CAGGTACTCACATTACAAGATGGTGGAAGCAGAGAGAGCAAGAGAGACAGACTCTCCTCTTCTTTTAAAGCCCTCAGAACCACGCCCCTGACCACCTTTTTTATCCATTCACTACTGCATGGTCCTACAATCCAATCCTCCTCAAGGCCCCACCTTTCAATTACCATAATAGGATTTCCCACCCTCTTAATAGTGACAGTGGGGGCCAAGTTTCTAATACATAAAACTTAGGGGACACAGTTCAAGTTTCAATGGGTTTTGGGGGGACATAGTTCAATCCACTACACTTATCATGTCTTTTGGGGTGCTTGTGTGTGCGCTACATCTGCTTCTGGAGCTGCATGCATATCTCTCCTCCTGACCTGGAAGAGAGACCGTGGTGGCCAGCAGGGAGTCTCTTTGAGCACTAGCTGTGTCCACACATAGAGAATCACCTAAAACACAATCTACCCCTGTTAGTCTTCTAAGTTCATATTCCTCATTTCAGAAAATCTTCCATTTTAGGGAGCATCTTTACAATGCAGTTCTGACACTGATTACCTGGAATTAGCACAGACCTCACAAGTTCAGGGCACAGTTGCCAACAAGACTGCCCTCACTTCAGGCACTAGCCACAAGCTCCAGGGCTTCCAAGTCACCCACACTTATGACCAGCTGGCTAAAATTTGGAGTTTCCCACTATACCCTTAGGTTCATATTCCTTCAGGAAAGTGCTATACTTATGATTGCAGTATTATTATAAAGAATAGAAATCAGTACCATACAAATGAAGAGATGCATAGGGCAAGGTCTGGAATGGCCCCAGATGCAAAGGTTATTGTGTCCTCAGGATGCATCACCCTCCCAGCACATAATTGTGCAATTACCAACCAGGGAAGCTCAACTAATCTTCAGTGTCCAGAGTTCTTACCGGGGTTTCATTAAGTAGGCAAGACTGATTGAATCATTGGGTACATGATTGAAGTAAATCTCTAGCCCTGATATCACTGGCTCAAAGCCCCAACCCTCTAATCACAGGGTTGGTCTTTCCAGCATGGCTGGACCCCATCCTGGAACTACCTAGGGGCCCACCATGAGTCACCTCATAAGATTAAACTCAGGAGTGTTCTGAGAGGCCCACTGTGAATGACAAAGCCAGTTCTATGACTCAAGAAATTCCAGCGGTTTAGAAGCTCCATTCCAGACCAGATACATTCTTTATTATACAAAAGTCTTATTTAAATATATCTATCCAAGCTTATTCTTAGGTTGTTTTCAGGTGGGACTATTTCAACAACTTTTATTTGGTTTCAGACGAGACCAATTCAGATTAGGGGGCAAAGCATAGGAAATGGGGCTTGGGAAAAGTAATAGATATTCTTATCCTGGTATTTCCTTCATATTATTTTGTATTGGAAATTTAATGGAGAACTCAAATAGAAATAATAGTACCTTTCCTGATTTACAACTTAATTCACTATTAAAGAGAAAAGAAGATAGCATTTCAGGCTCAAGTTTATTCTTTATCATACTAATATACAATGGACTTGCAGTCTACATTAGAAATATTAGTTTGTTTATAAATGATGTACATGGGTTAGAGAGAGCTATGTTTCTTAGGTAGCCGAAAGCACAAAACAGCTTAATAAATTTCAAAGTATAATAAGTACATTTTTAAAATTAAAGATATCAAGTATAATTATGGCTTTTTGTTCTGACCTATGTGGTTCAGCAGTAATTGATGTCTAAGAGACACCAAAAACTAGTTAGTTGGTGAAACAGGTCACACTCAGAATCCCCACTTCCCAGCACTGCCTGGAAACATTTATAGACGGGGCAGCCATCCAGAATAGCCACAAAACAGGGTTCTGCTCCCAGATTCATGAGATGTAAAGGTTAAATACTGGACTTGGGCAGCTTATGATTTTAAGGTTGCAGACCTGTAATTGGAAGAAACTATGCTGAAGGGTTTCATGTCTTTGTTTGTCTTTGTTACCAGTAAATCCCAGTAAAAACCTTTTATAACTGATTTCTTTTTAGAATTTATTTGCCGTAATTGCATTTCCATTTTATAACCTTGATGATGTAGTGTTTTCACCATGTTACCTTTTAAAAGCTTCCCCCAAATCCCCATTATCCAATAGAAGACAGAATGACAGTATAACCTCACGCTGTCAATAAATGAGGCGACTGTGTTGTCGCTGAATACATGTGGGCATTTTCACTAGTAACTTCAAATGGCTAGTGTTGGAAACGTTCATATCAAATCATATTTACCAGGCTTTTTCCCCTTTATACAGTTTACTAGTTTACTGCATTTGCATTACCAGCTTCTAACTAAGTTTTCTCAATTAACAATAGGCTGTGTAAAACTCTGCACACACCCCCCCCACCATTTAAGTTACAGTGTTATTAGTTATTTCAGTACCTACCATAGGGATTAAATCAAACCATGTTTGGAAAACAAAATAACATTGTGAATAGTAAAGTTGGGTTTTGTTTGTTCTTTTTTATGAGGAGTAGTATTTGTGTTTGGGGCATATCTTATTTTTTTCATTTTCAAAACATTACGCACCAGGACTATTCAATGTAAGAGCCTAATCTACCCACCAATTCTGATATGCATTTTCTTCTTTTTCCTTTTCATTCCTTCCTATCCAAGTGAACTTCCTCATGCACCTCAGAATCTCCTGGCCAGCCTGAATTCTTCCCACAGCCACACCGTGATGCTCTCTTGGGTTCGGCCCTTTGATGGAAACAGCCCTGTTCTTTATTACATTGTGGAGCTGTCTGAAAACAGTAAGTAGCAAAAGGAAACTGTTGCCAAGGACAGTAATCAGATTTTTTTGTGCGTTTTTAATGTCCTTAACCTTTACTTCTGGCTCAGACCCAAAACAAGTAGTAAAATGTTATGATGCTTATGGGGTTTCAAACAAAAAAACACAGCTCTCACTTGAGGAAAGAGAAAAGGCAATTGGGGCCTGGGAGAAGGAAGAGAAGAGATAGTTAGAGGAGCTCTGTGAGAGCATGGACTTGGGGCCAGTGAATGCCCAGCAGAATGGCTGTGCCTACCAGGCTGCCCTGAGCAAGGGTACCCCGGGACAGCATCATCCCTAGGGTGAATTTTGAAATGGGTTAATGATGCCTCCCTCCTGGGGCTAATTTGAGAGTTAACAACAACAGCAATAACAGTTCACATCTTTGGAATGTTTTCTGGGGCAGAGACGTGGAGCTAAGTATTCAGTAGATCTTTCCTTCCATTCCTCAACCTCTCAGCAGTGTTTACACCACCCTTCGAGTCCTCCTTCATTAAACATCCTCCCTTCCTGGATTGCCCAGTAGCCTTGGCTTTCCTCCAGCCTCCCAGGCCATTCTTCCCACCTCTTCTCACCAGCCAGATGGTGTGTTCCATGGTGTTCACCTGCTCACTCCTCTCACTTCTCCCTGGAATCTCTTCCTAGGAAATCTCATGCATGCCATGATTTGAAGTAGCAACTGTTCCTTGATGAGTCACACATCTATATCTTTAACACAGCCCTCCAGGATCATGTAGAAAACCCAAAGACTTGACCTCTCTATCTGGTTATTTCACAGACATCTCAAGCTTAACTTCTTTAAACTGCATCTTTTAATTTTTTTTAACCCTAACCCTGTTCTCACCTCATGACCACAGCCATTCTAATCTCAGTTACCATCACCCTCCATTTCTGTATTACTCAAGCTGGAAGCCTAGGAATCGCCCTCTATTCCTTTTCCCTCCACGCTTCCCTTAGTGCCACATCCACTGCATCAGCCTGTGTTCTAAGAAACAGCTGGAATTTTCTCCCTCCAACCACCGTTCTTTTACCAGGACCATTGCAACAATCTTCCAACTAGCTCCTCTTCCACTCTTGTCTCTTCCATACCATTCTCTACTCAAGCAGGAATACTGATCTTAAAATGTAATTGGACCAGATTACCCCCATGTAAACCCTGCAGGGGGTTCTTGCTGCATGTAGGATGAAACCCAAACTGTACAGGTCCCTGTGCAGCCTCAGCTTATGGCAGGTTACTCTGCTCTTTGGTGACCATGTGCCAACCACACTTGTTTCCTTTCAACTCCTGAATGGGTCAAGTTTCCCATCTCAGAGCCTGTTCTCTTACCTGGAATGCTCACAGGGTGAGATGGTTATCCTTCATGATTACCCATTACCTCCCCAAAGAAGCTCTCCAGCATGTCAGCTCAATTTAACCTTTTAATTCCTAAGCTGGAGTCCTTCCTTTATTATCTCATACTTTATTCTAGACTCCTTCCCTGTGCCTCCGCCATGGCAGAGCTAGCCAGACCACAAGTAGCTTGGCCTTTATGGTGGTCAGCTTCATTTGGCCTGTGGTTTGTAAGGGTGAGATGGTTATCCTTCATGATTACCCATTACCTCCCCAAAGAAGCTCTCCAGCATGTTAGCTCAATTTAACCTTTTAATACCTAAGCTGGAGTCCTTCCTTTATTATCTCATCCTTTATTCTAGACTCCTTCCCTGGGCCTCCGCCATGGCAGAGCTAGCCAGACGACAAGTAGCTTGGCCTTTATGGTGGTCAGCTTCATTTGGCCTGTGGTTTGTATTATGATGACACTGGTATTCTAAATGTGTCCTTGATTTCAGGACAGCTAGGAATGCTTTCTCAATGCACCCTCCACTGAAACCCAACTCTACTTGGTGAAACTCCACATGCATTTTTGGCACTGCTCCCGTTTCATAGGCAGAAATGTCCTACAGTTCTGCTACAGCTCTTCCCAAGCTCAGTGCCAACCTATACACACTTCCTGTAATTACTGACACAACTAACTTTATTTCTCCTAATTATCTTTTATACCTCCTTTCCCTCTCATATGATAGATTTCCCTACTGATGATAACACTGCTCATGGCACAGCAGACGCTGTTTGATTTTCATTTTATAGCTAAGGAGATGGATGTGTAGAGAGTGGAAGTCAGGGGCCCAAGGTCGCACAGCTAGTAATGGGTGAAGAAGTGATTCTCCCCAGGCTGTCTGACTCCGGAGCCTGTGCTCTTCGTGGATGTCCAGTATCTACAGAGAAGTTTCAGGGAGCAGAGTCTTCCCTTTTGCACTTCAGTGGGGGCTTTGTGGTGAATGCCAACTTAGGATGGCAAGCCGCACCCAGGTTTCAGTGTGTGTGGAGATTCAAGGAACCTGCTCTATGAAGCTGAAGAGCCTTTATTTGAATTGGGTACCACCCAGACCAGTTCAGTGAGGGAAGTCCCAAAGGCAGTATTTTATTTCCATTTCTTGAGTTGCTGAGTTTTCACTCTTGGCTACAACAGCTTCAGCCTTGAGCATCATCTCAGCCAGGTGCCAGAGTCCAGGCCCTTCTCCCCCTTTCTTGTGAGCATCTCTCACTACTGATCTGTCCTCTTTCCTCCAAGAGAGAGTAAGATGTGATGGAACCCCATCTACCTACGGACATCCATCTTAGTTATAGCACAGCAGCTCTGATCAAAGAGGGAAGGGATTGGCATTGCTTATTAAAATAACCTTTGTGAGAAGATAATGTTTTCCTGAGGATGTGGCCTGTAGGTAGAATAGTACTTGACGATGATATGTATGGAGAGAATGTGACAGGAGCAGAGATCTTGTCATCAGAATTCTGAAGAATATCTGCTGTGAAGATAATCTCCATTGGGTATTCATCCCCTTGAGACTGAGGACTGTGTTTTATTCACCTTTGTGTCCTAGTCCCTAGCATTTAGTAGGTACTTGACAAATCAACTGAAGTGAATCTCTCTAGTAGATTCCCCTCATAATGGACTCAAAATTATAGTCATAGACCATCTTCCAAAAGGAAAGTGTTCTATCTTCCCAGTTTACATAACATAAGGCATTGTTTCACAAAGCCATAGCAACTATTTTCTCAACTAATTGCATGATTGGTTCCTCGGTCTTGTCTAAATATGAAGCAACTTGTATGTGCAGCCATACGTCCGTCCACCCACTCATCCATCCATCCATGCAAAAATAAATTTTGATTGGGCATCTGCTCTACACCAGGCACTCTGCTGGGTACTGGGATGCAGAGATGAAATGATTAGTCTGAACTATGAAGAGCCAGGAGACAGTCAGACACATTAATACATCCCTCACATAATGTGCTCCCGCCAAGGTATGTGCAAAGTGCTGTGGGACCACTGTAAGAGAGTGACTGGATGGGAGATAAATCAGAGAAAATCTCCAAAGGGGAAATGCCATGAAACGTGAGCCAGATAGAGAACAAGGGGGACAGCATCAGCAAAGGCCCCTAAGTGCCAGATCTCGAGGCATGTTCAGGAGCAGCTAGTTGTCAATTGTGACTCAAGAAATTACTGGTTGTTGTGTGATAGTGTCTGCCTGGGAAGATTCTTCCTCATTCTTAATGGCCCAGCTCAAATACACTTCTCCTCCATATCTTTTCCTGACCCACAACCCCATCATGCACCAGCAGAATTAATTTTTCTCTCCTTAGGGTTCCTATACCAAATTATATATTCCCTTTTGAGTATTTAGTAGATTGTATAATAGTTACTGGTTTATATGTCTGTCTTCTTGCAAGACCGTGAACTCCTTAGGCGTAGGCAGGGTCCAAGTATCAATACTCTTTTTACCTATGTTATCCAACAGAGTGCCTGGCACTTATTGAACAAACTGTGTAGGTGTCCAGTTGCTTCATTTCCCTGAGAAAGTGACAGAGAGCATGATTAGTCTTTCATTAGCCTCTGGCTCTCTGTACTGGACCAGTCTTGTAGCTGGCTGAGATTCCCAACTGTTTTTGCCTCAGAGCCTCTAATGTAGGTATTATTTCATGAAGAATCTAGAGTGAGGCTCTCTGTACTGGACCAGTCTTGTAGCTGGCTGAGATTCCCAACTGTTTTTGCCTCAGAGTCTCTAATGTAGGTATTATTTCATGAAGAATCTAGAGTGATTGTGTCTTGGCTATCCCTGATTTCAACTGCGTAAAATACATCTGTGACCTTGGCTGAAGCAGTGTGTGCTGCTACCAGTTGGTTGGTCACATGTCTTCCTGCCACAGCAAATATGAAGACCGGCACCATCATCTGGGCCAACAATCTGGTTTTTATTTTTATTAGGAATGAATGCCCTTAAGAAATAGTTGAATGTGCTGGCTAATTATAGCCAGAAAGAACAGCTTAGCAGCAAGTACAGTAAAATGGAAATTATATTTGACCTACAGTCAGCGCTATGCAAGTGAACAAGACTAAATAACTCTATCCAGTAGGTCTTGCTACTTGGGAGACCCTCTGCAGCCAGCGCCTCCTGGCAGACTGATTGGGATGCCATTCTTCTGAAAACTGTGGATCCTGTTGTGGTTTAGGGGCTGAGGCTGCTGCTTCTTAACACCTGCTCTTATGACATTCCTGCCACTGCCAAAGGGCCTCTTCAGGTCTTTACAGAGTAGAACTCTAGAGCTTGAACTGAGCCTTTGTCCATGTGCTGAAATAGAATAATGGCAGTCTTTTACCAATTACTAAGAAAAATTAAATCTTTTTCCCGTGATTTTTTCTAAATCTTTGGCACCTGCTGCCACATGTCTTCTGGTAAGTTCTTGAAGGTAACGAGAATACTTACATGAAAAACTCAGAATACTTCATCTTATTTAGTTCTACTGTTAGCTTTTTAATAGATATGAGTATTTATAGTTGTGATTTTGTATTATACCTTATAATTTAAATTTAGTTAAAATATAAAATAATTTTGTACTTTTTATTATTAAATTTATATATGTGCATTGATAAAAATTTAGAAATT